GCGATGCAGAAATACAATTGTATCCTCTCTCCTACCCCTGGACTTGTCATTGTTGGTAGGCTGACCAAGTGCTTTTTTCAATGTACGATTGCCCTTCATGAGCTGAAAAAATGGCAGAGCTTTATCTACTGACTTGCAGATGAATCTGGTGAAGACTGCCTCCCTGCCTATTGTAGACACCTAATTCGGTGCCTCCCCAAAATGAGACCCGATGATGAAGGTTACCTACCCGTTTATATTGACGTTTGGTTTTGATTTGCAAAGTGTGCGCAGTTTTCTAAACCTAGCCCGGTCCCTAAACCCTAATCCTATGGTCCTTTTTAGCCCAAGAATATTTTCGTGTCTTTCAAACCATTCAAAACTCATTTTCGTGCCTTTTCATGAGCCCATGAAAGAATCCATTAATTGATCCAACGGTGAAGCCCTAATTGAGTTTGATCCACATGCGACGTTTTAAAGAATGAGTTGGCCTGGAATAGTAAGTTTATTATTTTGGCCTGATTCTTCTTCTAATGGATTAGGCTTGGAAAGAGCTTTCCAACGGTATATTATAAGCTCAATTCCGAGTTGTATACACAAAGTTATGGCCCAATTACTAAAACCGGTCCAAGCTGTCAAAAATAATCCATTACGGGTTTAATTAATTAAGTCCAAGTGGTTAATTTCGGCCAAAGGTTTCCTAAACCTAGTTGGAAGCCTATTTTGGAGTGATCCTCAAGGTATCTTGATTAAAAGATTTAATTGTATAATTTCTTGAAAAATAATCTTTAAATTAATCTTTATGGTTTGACAATCCTATTTGGATTAGGAATTATTGTTGATCGTTGGATTTATTCAAGATTTAATCTCCACCTTTGGATTTATTAATTTCATGATTAAATATGATTAATGATTATTATTAATGATAGTTATTTAATTTGAATCGTTGGATTCAAATAATTTTATTTGAACCGTTGGATTCAAATATTCTTTTCTATCCTTTTCACCCTATTTTTCCTATAAATACCCCCTCAATTCTCCTTATTCAACACACAATAATCACAACAATAATCACCCAAAAAAATACTCTAAGACTTGTATTGACAAGTCTTCTCTCTTCTCTCTTTTTCTTTAGTCACGAACCTCTAAGATATCCACATAAATCGCAAAGCAGCTGCATTTGCAGCTCTCTTTATCGCAAAACCGCAGCCTATTTAGACACATCCGCAGCTCTTTTCCGCAAAACCGCTGCCCTTTCTTTCTTGCATTAGTTCACCTCAGCTGTGAACCGTTGCCTTTGATCCAGAATCGCTGCCAATTCTCTGCTGAACCGCTGCCCATTTCTCACCATAGCACCTCACACTCGTACACCTTGCAATCAAAGCCTATCATCAAGGACTCTTAAACCACGACATAGAAGGTTTGTACCTGAGGGTTCTCATAACTTAAATTAATTTATTCTAATTATTTTCGGCTTTCATTAATTTATTTTAAGATTTTTTTAATTGTCAATGCTAACGATTTCATTTGCGGTGTATGTTAGCAATAAGACAACGCATTCAAGGTGAGAATTCTTATCCTTTTCTTTGTACATAGTAGCATGCTAGGTGTTTTTTTTTATTCCGTAGTATCATGTTGGGATCATACTAACTCATATTGCATCCTACTCGTGTTGATGCGTGATCATTAGTATGCATGTTTAGGTTTATTTCTATGCATGATTTTATTGCTTTGATATACTCGTTGTAATGCTCTATGCTTCACGCCATTATTCTAGGATTAATAGAGGAAATCTGTAAATGCAATCACGCTTAATCAAATAACTTAATAATCATGATAGCTTAATTTGATTAACATGAAGTGGTCACCTAAGTATCTAGGTTTTCGTGTGCATTAATATTTAAACTCACCTAGATTTAGTAATTTAGGTTTAGATTTAGGGTTCAGGATTAATTTGTTGTGTGAATCAATCGATAATGTATAACATGATCGCAAGAATCAAGTAGAGGCCAATATGGGCGAATTCGGTCGATGTAAAACGAATTCGTACCCTCATCCCCGAATCCTTACTGGTTCAAGACCACTAATGGAGATTGATCACCTAGATCATGAATGGGGTGTAACCTATTCATTTTTATGAATGGTTATGAGTTCTGTTCCTCAAACTCATTGCCGGCTCCTTTACATCATTTTCCCATGATAGCCAGGGTCATCTTAACACATGACACCAACAGTAGGGCGAGATAAAATTCCCTACACCTGTCAACCTCATAACGTCTTTGACGCTCTTAGGCTCTAGAAGGCTTAAGACAGCTTGTATTTTCTCTAAGTTTGCAACGATCCCCCTTTCGCTCACCAAGAAACCTAAGAACTTGCCCGTTATCACTTCAAATACGCATTTCTTTGGGTTCAACTTTATGTGGTATTTGTTCAATGTGCTAAATGTTTCTTCCAAGTCAGAGACGTGGTTGTGCGCTGTCCAACTTTTTACTATGGAATCATCTACATATACTTCCACATTCCTCCCTCTCTGGTGAGCGAAGACCTTGTCCATGGTTTTTTGGAACGTTGCCCCTGCATTCTTGGTAGCGGTGTCGCGTACCTAACAAAAATAACCTAACTATTCCCTCTAACTATGTAGCAGGGCAAGTAAGGATCAAATCTCAAGAGACTATGGTTCACTCAATTAATCAGACTCAAGTAATCACTAAGCACGTGACCAATCAATAATGGATGATAATAATCAACTAAGATATTAAATAACACAATTAAACTATCAAAGATGTAATCAATAGGCTAAGACATCCAAGATCAAGCATCACCACGATTATAATCGATAACTAATAAATCTACCCCCAATATATAAATCAATTGACAAAAAGAAAAGCAATCCCTAGATAATACCAAAGGTCTCTTCCGAGTTATCAATGGCTTCCCAAATCAACAATCAAACCTACTTCCGTGGTGGTCATGCGAATAAGGGACATTAAACACCATGCCTATATTCCTAATTGTTCAATCATCTACTTCCGTGATGATCGTCAAACCCTTAATTGAAATAATCTAATCCCGTTATCACCCAACTTCCGTTGATCTAATAACAATGGGATAATAACAATACTAATTATCCCTAATCTAGCATTGGCATGAACACAATCAATTAAGCATGTCAATTGGGATTATTATTGGGGAATTTAAAGATCTACTTTATACATCAATCATAATCGGGCTTAGCAAGATCCCGGATTAAGAAAACTACTCACACATGATAATGAAATCAAAATCAATATCAAGATCAAGAAACAATAAAGAAAACATATTTAAAGAACAATGAATATAAGAGAGAAATAAAATAAATACCAAATACTCCAATTGAAGAACTTGAATTCTTGAAGAATAATCAACAATACTAGAATTAAAGATTGAAAGTGCTTAAAGAATGTGAACTAGGGTTCTTGAGAGTTTCTACGGCTTAAGGAGAAAGCTAATGAAAAACTAACTGCTTAAATGTTAATTACCAAGGGTATTTATACCCCCAAAAGATAAAATTTCAAAAACCGCACAATCTTGAATGTTTCCCGGTCAGACCGGGCGGACCTCGCCCGATCGGGCGGAGGAAGGCTGCGTAAAGTACGGCACTTTTCCTTCTTTTCCCAGTCAGACCGGGCGAACCTCGCCCAGTCGGGAGCGCGTAACACACTTCCAGAACTGCATTCTTCATACTTTGATTTCTTCATCGCCCGGTCTGACGGGGCGAATCCTGCCCAATCGGGCGCGCGTTACACTGATCAAAGTTGGGCTTCTTTCTGTGAACTCTTCATAGGTTTTCCCGGGCAATCCATGCCAAGTCGGGCGGACTTTGCCCGGTCTGCCCGGGCGAAGAAGAGAAACTGCACTTCTCATCCAACAACTTCTCTATATCCAACCAAAAAACGTCCGATCGTCTAGGAAAACTTCGTATTCCTGTAAAACTTAACAAAACGGATCGAACACACTAAAGAAGAGATTGTTAGCGAGAAATGGCTCCGTAGAGCTCAAAATCATACAAATCCATTCAATAAAATCGGGGAAAATTATAGTATAAAACACGTATATCAATTCTTCTGGCCAAAAAGGCATTGCAACATAGTTGAATACTCCCCCGTCAGTGATGAAGGCTGCTTTCTTTCTGTCTGGTTCGTACAAGCTGATCTGATGGTAACCCGAGAAGGCATCCATAAAATTCAGGAGTACGCGCCCGCTCATTGAGTTTACCATCTGATCTGTTCTAGGCAGAGGATAGCAGTCTTTTAGGCAGGCCCGATTTAGGTCTGTGAAGTCTACACACATCCTCCGTTGCCCGTTGGCCTTTTTAACCATTACCACATTTGCTAGCCATTTGGGTAGTCACAAGGTTCTATGAATTTCGCAGCCAAGAGCTTATCCACTTCCTCTGGGATGGCCTTACTTTTTTCTGCAGAAATTTCTCAGCTTTTGCTTCACTGGCCTCGAGTCTTCTTTGGTGTTCAAACGGTGTTCCATGATTTTTGGATCGAACCTGGCATTTCGTCCGCTGAGAATGCGAACACATCTGTGTTCTTCCTGAGCAACGCTATCAAGTTAACTCTAACATTAGGCTCGATGTCTTTCCCAATCTTCACTGTCCTAGACTCATCTCCTTCGACTAATGCAACTACCTCATGCTCCCCCTCTGGGCTTAGACGGGCTACATCTTCCCTCTCAGGCTCAAAATTTTCCATGGCCAGCTTCTGCTTTTCCTTTTCTTCTTTATACTCCTGCCTTTTCCTCTTCCTGGATAGTTTTTCCTCTCTTGCGGTCTCTTCTGGGGCTTTGAGCAGGGAACCATATTTCACTGGGTTTTTCAGAGAACTAATGTAACACTGCCTAGCCATTTTCTAGCAGCCCCTCAATTTGCTTAAGCAGCCTCTGTTGCTAGCATATGCTAATGCTAAGTGCAGCGTGGACACTACTCCAATTATCTTGTGGATGAGGGGTCTGGCCATTATCAAGTTGTACGGAGATTAGGAGTTAATGGCAAGGAATTCTGCTCTCACATTCCTGGCCTGAGCTCCTTCTCCCACTTGGACTGATAATTCTATTATCCCCTCTGGTATCATTCCTAAGCCATCAAACCTTGTGACTTCATAGTTCACCCTTTTGAGGTCTTTGTTGTGTTGATGCATTTGGCAAAAGGCTTCTATGAACATGATGTTAGCTGAGCTTCTTCCATCCACTAGAACTTTTCTGACTTTCCAATTTGCAATTATTATTGCGACTACCAGAAGGTCATCATGTGGGTATATGACTCCGTATTGATCTTGCTCGTCAAACACTACCTTTGGCTGAGGAGGTGATGGTGGTGGCCACTTTCTGCACTCATTGTAGTTTACCTGATGCACCATGTCTCTGAGGTCAGCTCTAGCCCTACTAACTGTTCCTCCATGCATAGGCCCACCGCTAATCACCAACACGTCTCCTAGCTCTCTCTTTTCTTTGTCTTTCTTTTCCTGTTTACTCCTTTCACCCCTACTATCCTGCCTAGAGTATTGCTTAAATTGACTTAGATACCCCCTTTTGATGAGGTCTTCAATGCTATTTTTGAGGTGAATGCATTCCTCAGTCGTGTGACCCTTATCTCTGTGAAAGTCACATCGTTTCTTTGGATCTAGATTACTGGTAGTCACCCTTGGTGGTCTCTGTCACTTATCATCATATTTGTTCACATTGAAGATGTGAGATCGGCTGTGAGTTAGCGAGGTGTATTGTTCGTATCTGCCCTGTAATTTTTCTCTGCCCTGTCTCCTCCAGCCTGAGGACTTTTCATTATCTCTCCTCTGCTGGTCCGCCCTTCCGTACCCAACAAAGTTAGGTTCCGCTTTGCCAGCTGCCTCTGCCCGACCAAGCTCTGCCCTTCTGCTTGATTTGGCAGAGGCTGACCTTCTGGCCAACATGGTTCTGTCCGTTTCGTCCCCCTTAATGAAAATATGGACCTTACCCAAGGCCTCTACTAGTGTTTTCAGATTCTTCCTGCCCATGTACTCTTTGAATGCCAACCCTGGGAGGAGGCTGCTCTGCATTGCTAACAACACCACCTCCTGGCTCATGTTGGGAATTGACGTTGCCTCTTTATTTAACCGAGTAATGAAATCCCTGAGTGATTCAGTCTTGCCTTGAGCGACATCAGTTCTATTGTCATGCTGGTACAGTCAATTAGTGTGATAAAATGATCCATGAATAGTCTCTTCAAGCCATTGTACGAGTAAATTGACCTTTTCTCCAGCGAACGATATCATTCCGCAACCAATCCTTCCAGGTTTGGGGGAAATGCTTTACACCAGACTGAGTATGTCCTGGTGTATAAGACCATATGACTCTCAAAGGCAGACAAATGATTCTTAGGGGTTGTTGTCCCATTGTACTTGCATGAAGGCATCTTGATTTTCTCCATCGATTCCTCTAGAATTTCCTTGTAGAAGGTGAGTCCTTAGAGATCACCATGATCTTTGCCTTCTTGGAATGCAGGCTCGGACACTGGCTGTGGGTAGGGGATTTGCTGCGCGGGTTGCCAGCGGGAGCTTCGTCTGACTCCCTCGAGCTCCATTCTCTATTCAAGTTTCTGGCCTCCAACTTTTTCACCTTCTTCCTCAAGGCTTCCAACTCCTTCTGCTCTAGGGTCAGACTGTGTACGGATGACCTGATGGGAGTCTACCCAGTAGATGTCTACGGACGAGTGGAGCTCGATCCTTTTCCAAAGGATTTCAACATAACCGTCATGGCAGCCAATTGATCCTTGCTGCACTGGGACAAGTTTTGCAGTATCTCTGGTATTTGCAATGTCTGGAACTTTCCCGTCGGCATTTGAGTAATCACCTCATTGTTTTGGCTCGTGTATGGCATTCCAAATCGAACTGTTTGAGCTGGTCCGACCGGTTTATGAGCTCCATTAGTGTTTTTTGGTGATGCTAGAAGAAGCTCCAGCATGATTTGGGTTATGGGTATTGGTCGGAGTTGATTTTGCGGTTGCTTTTGCGAGATTAGATTTATTTTGTGGTGTTCGGATACTGTCAGCTATTGGTGTTTTAATCGCTAGATCTGGTTTTTACCCCGTCATGGCGGCTTTCCCAACCTCGAACAAGCTTACTGGTTGAGCTAAGGTGTCGGAACTCCCCCTCCTTCTAGCACCAATTGTTTCGGGTGTATTTTCGAAGCCTAGCTAGTGACTGGTCCTGGGTGCTGGCTGGGATTACCTGCACAATGAATAGTGGTTATGCCCTCGGGGTGGTTTCGAGGAACCCCTTTCCGATGCTTAAGTTAGTAAGGTATTGGATAATAATGGGTAAGTGATAAAAGATGAATGTGTTTGTAACCCCTTTTTCTAGTACTTGGGTTACTATTTATAGTTGTTCTATTCTTGGTGGTGTAGGCTGGAGCCTGCTGAGGCCAGCCCTTGTGCTAAACCCTTGGGAGATTATCCCTAACTTTGAGATGGAGCCCTCTGGGATCGGCCGTGAGGCTGAGCCCCCTTGAGGGTTTTTCCTTGCCCTGGAGTGGACTAGCCTGAGTGCGCACCCCTCAAGTAATGCTAGGAGCACAAGGAAGCTCAGGGGAGATACCCTATACAAGTAGCCCCTCAAAAGGTGGTCTGAGGCACTCAGGCCAGCTCTTGCTGACTGGAAACGTTCTTCTGCCCTGAGGTGAGGAGCATGGGAAGAGCTCTGCCGAAGCTATCCCATACACAACCTATCTTCAATTACCTAGAACATGACACCCTACTTGAAAACAAAGCTGAAGCAAGAGCGCTCAGATTCAAAGCATCCAAGTACATGATCATACGAGGTGTTCTTTTCAAAAAAATCAACCAGAGACGTCTTACAATGCTGCATTGAAGAGGACAGATACGAACGAATACTCAAGGACTTTCACGATGGAGAATGTGGAGCTCATTTAGGTGGAAGAACTCTAGCTAACAGGATAATAACTTATGGCTATTACTGGCCAACACTGCGTAATGATGCACACAGGTATGTAAGTAAATGTGACAACTACCAACGTCACTCAAGTATCACTCACAAACCCTCTAAACCTCTCCATCCTACTTTGACACCATGGCCTTTTATGAGATAGGGCATGGACATAGTTGGCAAGCTGCCCCCTGCCCTAGCTCAAAAGGTCTATATATATGTTGGCTCTAACAGATTACTTTTCTAAGTAGATAGAAACAGATGCATTCCAACAGATGAAGGACAAAGAAGTTATCAACTTCATCTGGACTAACATAATTTGCAGATTCGGTGTACCATCTGAAATTATTTGCGATAACGGATCCCAATTCATAAGTGCCCCAACCAGACATTTCTGCGATAAATGGAACATCACTCTCGTTACCTCAACGCCCAGATATCCACAAGCAAATGGACAAGCTGAATCTAGCAACAAAGTAATCAACAGCTCTTTGAAGAAGAAGCTAAAAGAAAAAAAGAGCAAATGGGCAGAAGAATTGCCAAGGATCCTATGGGCTAACAGAACCACACCAAGGACAGCCACAGTTCTAACTCCCTTCTCCCTGGTATATGGATGCGAAGCAGTATTACCTGCAGAAGTCACCACTCCAACAGCCAGGTATGGCCTGCTGACCCCAAAACGCAACAATGAGGAGCTGTCATATGATCTAGATACCATTGAAGAGCGAAGAGATCTGGCATACATAAGGATGGCTACCTATCAGCAAATGGTGGCAAGAAGCTTCAACAAGAATGTAAAAGCCAGGATATTCAAAGAAGGAGATTGGGTTCTACGAAAATTATTCCAAAACACCAGAGAACTCAATGCAGGTAAACTAGAGGCAACCTGGGAAGGTCCATATCAGATTGACAGAGTAGTTGGCAAAGGGGCGTACAGGTTAGCCACACCAGAGGGTAAGCTGGTATCCAGAAGTTGGAACGCAGCTCACTTGAAACCTTATCATTTCTAAGTTATTTCTAATGTTGTTTCAAAAGTTATTTCTAATAATTCCTTTAATTTATTCCCAGATTTTTTTTTTTTAAAAAAAAAAAAAAAGTGAAGAAGAAAAACACAAAAATATTTTTCATTCACTGCTTCTATCTCCGTAAGATTAGTACTAACTTAGGCATTGGAGGGTCGTTGGTGGCAACACCAACGGTCAGCCCTAACCTGTTGTTTTGCAGGATCAAAGAAGAGAACCTAAGTATCAGGTGGAACCTAGGAATACAAAGGAACAAAGATGAAGCAAAAATAAAGAGTAATCTCAAACTTTGTCAATTTGTCTTTGTTTATTTTATCACAACTCGTACTGACTTAAGCATCGAAGGGACGTTGGCTATGCTAACGGCCACTAGCCAACGGCCACCCCTAAACCTTGTAATGTAGGTACAGCTTCAACCTGCCAAAGACGCAAATGAACCACGGGCCCAGACGCCAGATACCAAAAGAATCCAAAGCAAAAATTAAAAGTGATCAAAAGAAGAGCTCAAAGTGCAACGAAGGTAAAAGTCAAAGCCTACGTTATTCAGAGATACCTAGCATGTAGAGTTCAAAGTCAAAAGCATAAAACCTTTACTCCGATGAGCAAAGTAAAAAATACAAGTTCAAAGATACCAAAAGCAAACGTTTCAGAACTAAAACAAACGTAGAAAAAAGAATCTAAGCTAAGCCTGAAGCCTGAAGCCCATCTTTTCCCTCTTCAGTACCCTTAGCTGGATCCTCAACATTGTGACCTGGAGAAGAATCAATAGTGGACTTCTCAGGGTCAAGCTCATCGACCTTGGGATCCTCATAAGCTAAGTCCTTAATAGAACCAACAGATAGGTAGTCATCCACGAGCTGTCAAAGCTTTTTCTTTCCTGGTTCACCATCATATTTGTTCAACAAGAAACCATTAGCTATATAAGCCTTGATCTTCACAGTAGCCAATGCTCCAATGTTCTTGTTCTCATCTTCTAGATTCACTATCTTGGCATACAGCTGTGTCATCTCTTCTTCCTTTTTCTTCAGATCCTCCTCTTTTTCCTGCATACTTTCCTCTTTCTTCTTCATGTCTTCCTCAAACCTCTTCTGTTGTCTCTCCATGGTAATGTTAAGATCTTTCACCTTTTGATTAGATGCATCCCTCTAGACTTGCATATCTTTTTTGGCCTTCTCAGCTCTTAACAACTTCCTTTAATTTCAACATCTTTCATGTGACACCTGGAATACAAAATATTCTGAAGGCCCTGTTTCACAGAAAAACCCAAGTCAAAAATATGCACAACCATAAAGTATCAACCAAACACTTAGAGCAAGCTAACAAACCTGTAACACCAGCTGAGCCCCATCTGCTAAAACAGAGGTACCATCCTTGCTAGCCAGACGCTTTTCAGCTGCTGGAAACAAAAGTTTCTGAGCAGCTGGCCATATTCTATTACCAGTTCCCTCATCAGCTAAGAAATCAGTAGAAAAGCTAGCATCATAAGTATCTGGTATAACGACTAGATCAATGGGGGCATTAGACCTAGTACGATGACCTTAGAAGGCATAGGCATCTCCAGGTTAGATAGAGTCTTGGAAGGGCTTTCCCTAATCTGTTGAACTGTGGTATCTGCTGACCCACCTTGAGAATCACTCCTACTTTTTCTCTTAATGCGATTAAGGGCTTCTTCCCGAGATATCACGTTAGCACTCTTTCCTGGTACAGCCAAAGTCAGTTAATCTTAGTTCCATGTCCAAAGTTTCACAGAAACAACTAAGTCTCAAAAGTATACCTGAAGCCATAGACATACCAGCAGCTACAGATGGAATAGGTTGGTCACCAAAAGTTCTATCAGGCATAAGAATCAAAGTAAAACCCTTAGCTAATATACCTCATCCAAAGGTCAATTACACATAAGATTGAATGACTACCTTTATGCCAGCCGCTTCTTATCCACCTTCCAGATTCCCCTAAAGAATCTTTTATGACAAAGAAAAATCTTGTCTTCCATGTTCGATCTTGAGTTTTATACCCAATAACTGGAGGATGATTGACTAAAGCTCTCTCGTAAACAGTTACCCTATCTAGATCCTTTTTCCTTAATTCATAGCACCTGAGAAAATCAGCTACATTCATCTTCTTCTCCCAATTAGCTGTAATTTTATCTAGCCTATTCATTACCCTCTAAATTGCATGCATCAGTTGGCTTGAAATTAGGTTGAAAGTCTCCAAAACTTGCTTGGACAAAGGGGAAAAAGGATAGGTAAATCTGTTCCTAAAAGGGAACTCATAGAAGACAATGTTATCCTCACTACAAAGCTGTGGCCTATTCTCAGGTCCAAGTACAATTAGTACAGCAGACTCAAGGAACCCTGCCATCACCCTTAGTTCTTTCAACTCAGCCTTAGTAATTTGGCTAACTTTGTCCTCATCGGCTTTCCCCATCTTACCTTGATTTACTCTCAAGTTCCTATTTAAGCGTC